TTTCACTAATAAATAGTTCTATATATATATATATATATATATATATATATATATATATATATATATATATATATATATATATATATATATATATATATATATATATATATATATATATATATATATATATATATATATATATATATGTATATCCTTGGAGTTGCCGCAGCGTAATAGTGTGTTGGGGGGAAAAAATTTATAAACCTGCGTTAATAACCCGTTTTCTATTGTACATAACGCGTTAATAGGTTTTATTACCCTTTTTGTTCAATGTTTTCTCCCAACGCATGCCTTATGACGCTGTCTGCGAAGATATGTTGGTTGTTTCTAAATTTTTTTTTCTTTATTAGAATCAGAATAAATTTTAACTTTTTGTATTAAGTTTTTGCTGATATGGTTGCAGGTTTTTCTTAACTTCTATCAAATAAACTTATTAAACCTGTATTACTTTTGATGATTGCAAATTAATTTTATTTTGCATTAGTTTGGATTCTTTTATATATTTGTTTTGAGAATTTTTTTTTAATTTTTTGAGTAAGATTTTTTTAGTTATTTATTTAGCTTTTTCATTTATTGTTAACTTTAAAGTAGTAAAAAAAAGAAATAGTTAGTGTTGCTTTGATAAATATGTTTAATAAAAATGATGACATTGAAATGAATGATAGGCTAGATGAAGATATGTATTTACAAAATGATGTAAGTGCTATAAGGCGTGTTGAAAATAGTCGTAGACGAAATGAAAGAAATAGACTTAGGCAAGATGAAATTATTCATTTACAAAATAAAAGAAATAGGCTTAATCGAGAAAACGTTAATCATTGCCAAAACGAAAGAAATTGGCTTGATTGAGATTATATTAATCGTCACCAAAATGAAAGAAATAGGCTCGATCGAGATAATGTTAATCGTTGCCAAAATGAAAGAAATAGGTTCGATCAAGATTGTTAATCGTCGCCAAAATGAAAGAAATAGGCTCGATCGAGATAACCAAAATAAAAGAAGAGCTGTTGGACAAGGACGAATGTATTCTATAGCGAGAAGTAATGCTATTCCAGATTATAATTATTTAGGAGAAATGAATCAAATTTGTCAGCACTGTGGTGCTAAGAAATTTCCAGATGAAACACTTTTTTTGTGTTGCCATAATGATAAGGTAGCTTTCTATTTAGATGTTGGTAATAATATTGAAACAAGTAGTTTATAGAGCATTTTTAAATTTAAAAAAGAAATAAAATTAAAAATTAAAAAGAAATAAAAATACTTTTCAATATATATCTGTTTTCTTCGAGGTAAATTTAAAATTTCAGGTTTTTAAAATCATATATATTATAAAATTAAATTCTTTTTACTTTAAAAATATCTATATTATAGTTACATTGAGTCGTTGAAAAATAATTAAAGTTTATTAATAAGGTAGTAGATTATTAGAGTAGATTAAATTGTTTGATCTGTTTAATCAACTTAATAACATACTACTAAAGTGAAGATTTATTTCGGTTGTTTGTTTGTTAAAATTTAGTTAGAGTTTACTTAAAATTTAAATTCTTTAGTTAATCAAGAGAGATCTAATAAAGGTATTAATTACATTAGTTAGTTGAATGTGGCATTTAATATGTATTTTATCGATATTTTAACGTCTAAACATTAAAGTGCTTTTATTGTTTAGATACAGAAGTGAAGAAGCAAATAAGTCAGTGTTTTTGCTATTAGATATTTGTTAATAGAAATTTGTTTATTTGTACTGCCACTGGAATTTTAAAAAATCAAGTTCTTTAGCTTTGTTTTATACTTTCTTTTAGGGGAGTTGGAACAAAAACTAAGTATAAATTATGATTAGTTTAGTTTAATAAATAAAGTATAGTTGGTAGGGCTGTGTTAATTAAATTATAAGTTTGCTAGATTCCTTATCATTCGAAGATTATAAAACTTACCACTCCCAACACCCAGGACCTCTCTCAGAGAGGTCCTTCAACAAATGAAAAGATAATGGCGGAATGGATGAGCCCTTCTTTAAATGGAAGGCTCATCCATACCGGGGTGTTAGGAGACACCAAAGAAAAAACAGCAACCAAAAGGCTGTAAATGTCTTTTATCAGTAGAGATATTTATGACTTTTTGGTTGCTGCTTTTTCTTCGGTGTTTTTTTTTTAATTTTGTAATTAATTTAAATTTGTAATTTTTTTTTAAATTTATATTATGTTGTATAATTGATTTGTTTTGATCTTTTTTAATGAAAATTTTAATTGTTTTCTCACCAATTAAACCTGACTTCAAATTTAAAGCCCTATTGAATACCCCTCCCTAAATGCTAAAGTTGAAAGTTGAATTAATCCATTACCCAATTATCATAATATAATGATTAATTATTTTGTTAAAAATAATTTTTTGGTATGTTTCATTTATTGAACTCACTGCTTTTAATATTTACCAAAACCCAAGGCAATATATTTAGCATATAAATACAATTTATTTATCTCGATTCGATTTTTCATCTTTTATGTTTATAGTTTGGCTCCTTGAAGCATTTTATGTTTTGCTTTTTTTATTATGAGTATTTTAAATCCGTTGTGATGTATTTTAAATTAAACTAAGTTTACTAAAAGCCAACATAAAAACTACGTTTTTGAACAACACCAAAAAGAACAGCTGCATCCCTACAGCG